TGAAGAAATGTAGTCTGGCATTTTACATATTCAAATAACAAAGAATGTTCAATAGACATGTAAACATCATGACTCAAGCCATAACAAGTGCTCCATTGACAAAACCTAGCTAGTGAGATGCATGCCTAATAAAGTCAACCACTAGTTTTAAAGATATTGTCTGACCACCATAGGCTAGAAGTATAACAAACTGCAAAATGAGTTTTCAAATGCTATGTGCCAAAACATTTTAATCTCACAAAACAAGGCAACAAAATATCAAATGATATTCTTCACTACCTTACATATGCTTACATATGTAAAACTTGTCTAAAGGTCCTGTAACTTTCTTTAACCCAAATAACTACTCAGCATAAACAAGCTCTCCCAACTTCTTCCACAATTAAGACTTCAGTTTATCCATTAAGCATGCAATTAAACAGTAGTAAGAAGGTATATGCTAGAATTGGCAAACAAAAAGAAGTTTAGGTTTAATAAGAAAATGAATTCTTCTAATTTTCATACCATTAAATAGGACAAATAGTCTGTTTATCAGGCTCGCATCATCCAAATTCACACCAGAAGCCTTCTTCTTTAAAAGCTCTTCCCCTCTCTTGACAACAGGTTCTTGACTAGAAGAAGCCGACCATTAAATGTGATGTGACCATCCATGGTTAATTTGCATGAGGACAGTGCAATAGAAAGTGTGAAGATTTTAGCTTCTGAAATATCAACAAGAAGTAAGAATACCTGTCTGCACATGCAGCAATATAGAGAGGATATACAAGTTCAGGTGCCAGATCCATAGCTTCAACAACATTCAATATCCCCAACTAAATAAAAGAAATCAAAGAAAGCAGGGGGGAAATTGGTCATCACATATCAGAAATTGGCTTATAAACATTTATAAATTCTCATAACAGGACTACTTTAATATTCCAGGCTTTCCAGCAACGTTACCTTTCTAAGTAGGAGCATATCGCTTTTCAAGGGATGTTTTCCAGTAACACGTTCGCTTTGCCTAATTGAAAGCCCTGCTGGGCATTCTCCACTGCAGATATGGATTGAGATCTCATGCTTAAGGACATATATAAAAAATTTGCTCAGAAGTTGATTTCTACAACAATAAGTAAACTGTATAGCAGACCTTTGAGAAGACGGTTGATATAATGCCGTATGAAGGCAAAATTCAATAAATATATCACTGTCCTGCGCACCTATAGTTAATTTATATTTTGCAGCAACTTCATCATTAATTTGAGTTGAATGGCATTCACCAATCACCTGACACCAAGCAAGGATTGATAATCATCACTAGCCATGCCATGATAGAAAGAAATGGACGGCAATGAAAATAAGAATAAATGAATGTTTGTCATGATAAATCAATGTGATTGTGCCTCATGTTTTCCTGCTCTAGCCACTAAGAAATAGAAAAGAATGCTAATAAATCCAGATTTGGCTTCAGAGGTCAGGTTTTTTCATAGGTTTAGACTGTTTAGTTCCATTTTACTCCCATGTGGTTTGGCCCCGTAGCACTTCAAACCCCCTGGAGGGTTTTCAAAAATAATCACATAACCCTCATGTGCTTTTTAGACCAATTTGCTACTATTACACTTCCCATCTAAGTAAACAATGTATGCACACGCCAGAGTAGCCAGTTGGTAGGCAAGAAATGTGATTCCCTCTGAAGTGGAAATAATCAAAAGGCTAGAATGCCTAATTTAGCATACATACCAAAATACCACCTCCCATATTCACTGACAACCCACTCACTTCTCCCCCTTTGTGTTAGTCATACTCTCTCCACCACTAATTAGCTCATTCTCTGTACTACAAACCCACTTGATCCTTTGATCTCTCTCTCTCTCCTCTTACAGAGGTAAATTTCTGTAACAATAGTGAACAGAAATATTCTTCACCTCAAGACCCGCCATCTTCTTCTTTAGCTTAGTCTCTCTCTCTCACTTTGAGATTGAACATTTTTGTAGCAACAGTAACCACTCAACCTTCAGAAATGCCTTATCCAATCCTGAACCCAAACTAGAACCACATTAATGCCAACGTCTCCAAAGTCTCCACCGTCAACAACACAACATAATCCGTCAAAAAATCATTGCCACTCAATTGATAAACCCATAGCCGCTCAATTGACGAAAACCCATTTCCAACGTTTGTCAAATAGAAATTGAAAATGGGCTTGGAGTAAGATTAAAATTTTATTTTGAAATTGTCAAAACAACCGAAATATTTCTGTTTCCAAGAAAACTGAAACAATGAAATTAAAATCCTAATACTTCGAGTTGTATCATAATATTTCAAGGTGTTTCGTAATGTTTCAACGCAATTACACAATAATTTCGGAATGTTTGAAGGTGTTTGAAGATGCTTTGGTATATTTCAACCAATGATTTAGAAAAATAATTCTCAAATTTTTTATTCATTTTCATTATGTTTTCGAAACAGTTTGCAATGTTTTCAAAACAGGTCAAAATGTTTCAATTTCTTAGGTGACCAAAACGAAAATGTGATCCTTAGCTTGCACCATATGTGTAAATCAAAATTGGTATTGTTGCCCTCGAAATTTACTTTAATTTTTCATTCTCTTATGCACAAAAAATTAATTTTTTGGAGTGTACAAAAAATCAATTTTGTTGATACCAGTTATTTCAAATTTGAATTTGATTGTTCATTACCAATCATTTCAGATCTTGACAAAACAATAACCTTCAATACTGATTTTTGTGAAGGTTGCACTATGATTTGAATTTAACTTTTAACAGTGAAAAATGGGTTTTCATTTTAAATGGAATTCATTGCTCATTGAGGATCAGTTGTGAACAATAGGATATTCTGGGTGGTTGATTTCTTGTAGGTGTTAAGAGTTTTTAGAAGGGGGAAGAAAACTCTACTGATTTCTTTTTCCAGTCAGAAGAATATATTGAGAGTATTACGACAATTTAATCACTTCTTTTAACGTTTGATAGTTGTGCATCTGGGTCCAAAACCACAGGTATTATGTGGTTATTTTTTAACCACATGGATGAAGTGCTAGACGGCCAAACCACATTGGGGTAAATTGGAATTAACCCTTTTTCTCTTATGATAAGCATGACACTTTGAGGGGGGGGGGGGAATGTGCGTGTGTTTTGCCAAAACTGGATACCAGATCACATAAAATGAAGTTCTATGTGAAAGACAAATATAGTAAGCATCTATATATGAGAAAAATCAAACCATGCACTCTAATACCAAGAATACTCCCACCCCACCCCAACCCTAGACCCCCGTGGATGGGAGTTTATAACCATCTCTTGAATTCATCTTCAATTCACAAGACCATTTATCATTAAGATTCATTTGGTAAGATTGAATAAAGCAGAGGCTTGTTGAGATTCCTAATTCGCCTATGCCACCTCCAACCCAAAAAAGGATCCAATACTGCACAAACAAAATACAAGGTCTCTAATGATATCAGATATAATTTTTGGCTGAAGTCAACCTGCCACTGGCGCTTCCGATGGATTCTACAGATACGTTGTGCTTAAAGGCTATAATCTTCCTGCGGTCCTTTTTTGATCGTTCCCTTTTGCATGATCAATACAACTGGTTGGACATAGTACAAACCAGGCGGCCTCAAGGATATAGTAAGCCGAGATGATATTAGTATACTAGTAGACCGGTTACAAAACGCAGCCAGTGAATTATATCTGAAAGCCTTGGATCTTTTAATGTAATAAGTGATTGTTTTTTTTAGCTAAAACGTGTAACTCATACTAATGTGTGTTGCTCATCTAAGGTAGAATGACTCTCCCATAAATAGAAGTATAAAACTCATGCTAAACCATTTTTCGGGTCTTATATTTGTTTTAGCCTTTTCTTTTTCTTTTTAAATAAATAGTGGTAACTAGTTGGATAGGTTGCCCATTTCAAACCTTTAAATAAAAGCATAACTTGGAACCCAACCAAAGATTGGTAACCCTATAAGTTTTGTAAAGTAGGAAAAAACCAGCAACATTACGATCAACTTAGAAACTAAGGAATTTGACAAACACTAAAACTAAGGAATTTGAAAACCTCTCCTAATTTGCCACCAATACCAAAAACCATAGTTATTAAATCGTGTATCGAAAGCCGTATCATTTTTTAAAAATAGTGTATCGTATCGTATATCGTATCGTGTATCGTAAGATACAGTGCAATTTTAAATAAATAATAAAAATATATATATACCTTTGAAAAAAAATTATACACTCATAAAAATATAGCATTTCATTAATACTCCACCACCTATTCAAGTCATCAACATAGTTCACTAATATTATAATGCAAAGTTTACAACCATAGTTCACTAATTCAAACTTCAAACACCAAAGAGACTTTGAATCCAAATTTATAACACTCATTTTGAACTCAATCCATAAAATTAATCAAGATTTATAAATTTTTATACAAAAAAAAAAAAAAATTAGTGTCTTATTTAGACAAAACAACATCGTTTCATCAGTAGCAGGGATAAAAAAATTCGTGTCTTATTTAGACAAAACGACGTCGTTTCAGAAAAAAAAAAATAGGTTTTGCACTTATCGGTGGTATCGTACCGATACGTATCATAAAAACATATCGTGTATCGGACGATACGATGCAAAAACGATACATAACTACGATCCATATCATTTTATCTCCGTATCGTACGATATGTATCGTGTATCGTACGATACTAACAACTATGCCAAAAACTAAGGAATTTAATAGAAACCTTTTTACATGATATGTCAAGTCCATAAATCTTCAATCTGCAAACAAAATAACCAAAACACAAACAACAAAAGAAGAAGAAATGCTCCACCATTGGGTGAATGCATAAGTAAGATGCTCCAGCAAAGGCTTTTTTCTTCATCGTATAAATTAAGAATTAAGTATCTATAGTAGAGAAGATCTCTAACAATCACTAAGGCCTCATTAATGATAGTTGTCCATACTACAGATCACAAATTGTAAAAACCTAGCCTATTGTGCAACTACTTCTTCCATGCTGGGGAAAAGCCGGGATACTTCAACTCCAGAACAGAGGTAACCACATCCTTGGTCATCTGAAACATATTATTGGCACTTCAACTATCTTGAAATTGAACTAAGAAATGACTCACACGTTTACCTTCATTGCACCTTTTTAGTCATAGTTCATGGTCACGACATCAACCACAGACTTAGAAGGCATTGAGCCCCATCGATTATGGTATCGGATAATACACACAAAATGCTACATAGAAAAAGAAACTTCACATCAAACAAAATTCAGGTCATATCTCGACATCGCGAAATGGTGCTGGTCGATTTGATGACGTTAAAGACAACTCAAATGGCTAGGGTTGACTTGAAGATGTCTCTAACAATCGGCTGAGTTATGTGAGACTCGTGATCAAAAAAAAAATTTGGTCCCTCATTGTGATTTGTTGGAGGACACTAAACAAGACTTGAACAAATAAACAAGACAAAGGATTTGGGGGGGAATTAAGCCGAAATAAAAGGGTAACAACTACTATGTACCCAATTCAATGAATTAATAACCCAACTACCCATGTCGGTTGCCCCGATTCAAATTTCTCAACGCATTTAGACGAATGTCCAACAAATCTTTCAGGAGCCATAATCAACAATAGAACGACATTGGTTATATACCTACCACATTTGATCACTAATAGAGCATGTTAGGCAAAGAAAAAAAAAGGCAAGAGGGAAGAATGAATAGAAAGGAAGGAAACTGGCTGGGGGGGCCTCACTTCCAAAACAACCATATTCCTTCCTCCCTACTTCGGTAAAAGGAGGAAGAATTGGGTTTCATTCATTTTTGAGGTTTCTGTCTTAAAATACCAAAGAAGTAGAAAAGAATACCCTTTCCATCAATATTCAAGTATATAATGATATTTTTGTATGCATCACCCTTTTTCAACCAAGTGACAATGTATGGATTCTTGGTTTGATAATCCAAGTTATTGACATACCTTAAAGGTGGGGTTGTGCCATCAAGGGAAATTTAGACTCAGTTGGATTGCTTCCAATGGAGTTCAGTTAGGCTTTTTGTTGGGCTAATAAGTCATCTTTACAACCCCCCCCCCTAAACACACACCCACAAAATAAAAAATACAAAAACTAATGTGTTCCGACTATGCTCAGTTTTATCCCCAAACATTCAATAGAGTGTGCTTCTTCTTTGAACCTCGAGTATTTTTAAGTATATCCATTAAGGATGCCTTCTGTCTTGCCCTTCATATATATTCTCCTTATTTTTTCCAAAAATATTATATTTTGTATCAAAAAGATAGTTATTAATATTGAGATTAAATTTTGTGAAAAAACTATTCAAGCAACAAAAAAGAAAAAAATGAGAAATGATTAAAGATAAGGCCATGGTGCTACTTACAATATCCCTGTAGCAAGATTGTGTGTGTGTGTGGATACAAATATAAGTTTTACATAAACACATTCAAAAATTAGGAAAAATGTACAGAATATATAACACAGAAAAGTACCCTTGCAATGGTTCTCAAGATTATCTCTTGCTGCTGAGGAGGAAGCTTTGAAATGTTAGCCAGAAGAAGAGGTGCCATGATTTCCTTTTCCTAAAACATAAGCATTTGGAAATAATACCAGTTTCAGAAATTTTCTTTGGCGACCAAAAGTACTCAAATTTTATAGTAAGCCAAAGTAAATACAAACCTCCTTATGTGCACGTTCAAATGCCATCTCAATATACACAATGCAAAAGTTCTTAACCATTGGAGTAGCATTAGCTTCCATATACAAGTTCCACAAATCTGACAATGGCAAACCAATCTCGGGCTGGTGTTTCACTCTCTTGTTCACATGACTGAGGATCTCGATAACCTAACTTCACAAAGACAAATATTATCAATATTGGAGCAAAAGAACTGGCCCGACCTTTCATCTCTATCTATCATATGTGAAAGCTAAAAAAGAAAATATATCCAATAATTAAAGATATTTGCATCTACACAATAAATTGTTAAACAATTCGTATGCAAGAACCTCAGGGGAAGTGTAAGATTTACATAGATAGCCATTTATTGGAAGCCACAATAGTCCAGCATCTGTTTATAGGATATTAAAAAAGTGAATGAAGAAGTACCCAAAGCACATGAAAAGCCAAAGGGACCCTTTCCCGGTAGTATGTGAGAGTTATTGAGATCCTCTTTAAGTTGAAGTCATTTAGAAGTCCCTCAAGTATCCATAAATGACAAGCTACTAGCATGGCTCAAAGCATCAACTAATACAGATAAGAATTGACACCTTCCGTTCTGCTACTATTTCACATCCATATAAATCATGAATGTCACGTGACTCAACCTAGTTGTTCGAGACATTTTCAAGTCAATCCTGAGTCGTCTTTATCATTATCACTCAATGAACCAATATTGTTCCCAATGGCACAATATGGCGTTCAACTTCTTTTTCTATGTAGCATTTCATGTATTTCATCCAATATCACCCCACAAATACGCCTTAGAACCATCCGAGGAGATGATCAATACTGCAACCTTGAACCTAGCTCCCACAATATGGCAACACATGACATTTGTAGCAGTGTCAGCTTTACTTGGATTTTATGGGAGTGAAATCACTTGATTCCCTGCAAGGTGGTCTCTAGGCTTAAAGTTAAAGGTGGTTTTTCATATTGTAACTTAATAACTAGGAATGTAACTTGGAAAAATAACTTTGGAGATTTCCATTATGGCAAACTTAACTATGACATTTGGTTATTAGAAGAAAATGTGGTTTTTAGGCTAATGGATGGGATGGTAGTGTGGTTGAAATGAAAGTTTCTGAAGTCAGAATTTGAATTTAGGAGGATAATTGAATTAGGGAGTCATCATTATCATATTTGATCCCTTATCTATGTCATATCTCTAGGCATCACGGTGCTTATAATGCTTCTATGTTAAGGTCTAATTTTCCTAGGATCTTAGGTTACATAGATATCTAAATGATAGGAAAATTTGGAATTGAGATCACTTCCTTCTATCCTTGACAACAAATTTGAATTAGAATGCTTTCGATAAAAGAATTTTGGTCATTGATCATTAGGTTTCTTCTCTTGCTAATCCTTCTTTGAATCTTTGATCGATGTTTCCTCATTTTCACCCTTTCACCAATCATTAAAGATTTGAAAGCCTAAAGCTTCTTTCAAAGTACAAGCTTATGCATGGGTTATTGTTGATCATAAGATTAATACTAATGATACGTTACAAAGAAGAAGGCCCATTGTTTGTCTTTGTGTTTTCGCAATGGTTTGTTATGGGTCGAGGTGATGGCATTGTCATTGTAGAATAAGTTGTTCGGCATGGCAGGGCTCAGTCGAGCAGTAGCACAGTCTATGTCATCAATGTTTAGTGTGGATTTAAAAGGTTTTGGAGAATATAGAAGAGGAATTACTCTTTGAGATTATGCAATTCGAGCCAACATTTGTGTTAATTGAGTGGAGATGAATTCAAGAATATTTGAGGATAAAAGTGAGGTGGTGGAAGGATAATGGGACTGGAAAAATTTTGTATCACCTTTTTAGGCCTCGGTTACCAAAGATTTAGTGCCTAATAAATGCATATTTTCTGCTTCACATGACAACTACTGATTAAGCATGAGGATAAGAATTCTGCTATATGATACCCTGCTACTAAATAAGGTTCCAAACTTCTCTGGTCACTTATGCTGAATACAAACTCAAATATAGAGGACAAGTAGTTGCCAACGCTGTATTACATGCTTGACGGACTTTCTGAGGTAAAGCCCCGGACTTATGGGAAAAAACACATATCTTTTATAGTAGCTCCTGAATTCCAAATTTTCCTAGAACTCACATTCCTAATGAACAACATCAGCACCTCACCACCATCCAAATTCCTCCCAAACTTAGGTTCCTCTCACTGCCTGGATCCGCAATAGCACCCATAGCAAAAAACTCCGAGACAACCATCCGCATCCTCCATCACTTGAAGATTCTCACCGTTCTTCATTCATAAATTTTCTTTTAAATTTTTCCATCCTCTTATGTTTCTCTGTCATCAAAAACTACAACTGTTTTCTTCAAATCTCTTAATCTCTTTTTAGTGAGAAACTGAGATACCCAAGGATCAAGCATACGAATTACCACGAAATTGGCCTAAATCAAATTATAGAGACACCTAATTCTGAAGAAAAAGTATTCAGCAGTAATTTCCATCCACATCACTAAAAATATACGTGTGAATGTATATCTATCTATAATCTAGAACAGGTAGCGTTCAATAAACCCATCCTACGGTCTCAGACTTATCTAACGCCAACCACCAATTCATCTCAAAACCAGGCTTCAGCGGCGGGTTACCCATAGTATGTATATGTGAGAGGACTCCTTGTCCTCTCGTGTAATTATTTATGTTTATTATTAATAATATTCTCTAGTTTCCGATCAAAAATATGTGTATAGTGAGAGAATCAAGGACCTTGTTTCTGACGGCAGGGGACTGAGAGGAGAGAGAGGAAATGGTGAGGGGAAGAAGCTTGGAGAGCAAGTTCTGGAGCTTGGAGTCATCACAGAGAGCCAATCGGGTCAGCATACGATCCAGCATGTCTTCAATCTCCGAATCCGATTTCCCGGAAAGAGCTGACAACGACGATGATGCAGCTTCCGCCATATCTCTTCTCTTTTCTTTCCTTTTCTTTTCTTTTCTTTTCTTTTCTTTACGCTTCGTTTGTTTTCTAGGAAGACAAACAGAGACCGTGCTGGTATTACCAATGCTAAGATTTGCTGTGTCTTGGTTCAGGCTTTGAGGACTTTATATCGGTTACCCTGGTCCACCGTATGATCTGTGGATATCCTCACACGGGATCACCTGGTGAAGGCGTGGAGTGTAGACTCCGCAATCCCCACAAGACCGACCTCGCACTGTGATAACAGCAACTCCAATAATTTCACTAAAATAGGTATGCAAAATATATTTAAATATTATATTATTTATTTTATCTAATTATTTTTTCAAATTCATTATAACTACATTATTTATTTTATCTAATCACTTTAACTAAAATTTTAATAATAAAATTAAAAAAATAATAATTCAACTATACATTGTATAAATTTAATCAATTATGAATTACAAAAATAAATATCATAAAAGAAGAGCTCATCACACATACTTAACAAAACAATGATATACCCCCTTCAGGATCAATTTTAATCTTTCTGAAAACCCCAAATCAGGATCGATGGAAGATCTCAAATCACACACAAAAATAGAGCCCACCTCCAAAATCGTCAATCGAACCCAAAGATCCCAATTTGTGATAAGTTTTTTATCTTCTCAACCCAACCCAAAGATCCCAAGTTGAGACAATGGAGTTTCTGGGAGTGAGAGAGAGAAAACATATTTGTGATGATGAAGACGATGGAGTTTTTGTGGACTGATCTGCTGTGATGAAGATGATACCTTCTATGGACTGACCTTGGCGCAAATTCAGCGATTTTGGAGCTTCTATTGAGGAATAACTAGTCTTGGAGGTCACCACATCCAACGAGCCAATATTAGATTGTAAGTAATACCGAGTGAGATACATAACTCGTTGGAGCCAAAATTTATGGACTGACTATCTAAAATAGCTAGCAGGCCTCCTTTACATAGCCCATTGGAGTTGTTCTAACAAACCAATATCTATAATATAAAACATGATATATTTTAATAAATTTATCCGACAGTCTTAAATAAATTCATCTAATGACTAGAATATTTAATATGTTTATCCGACAGTCTTAAATAAATTAATCTGACGACTACGAGTGTTTATCCTATCCTACAGGTATGAAGTATGGTATTTTATCTTCTTACCCGATATTTTGCAGAAGAATTTTTTCTTCGTCTACTCTACCAATCAAGTGTACTATTCTTACCTGAATTTCGTCCAAAATAATTGGGTAGGAAATCGAGTGAACACATATTTTTTAGTTATTAATTTTTAGATTATATTAATAATTTAATTAAGTAGCATGCACTAATTAACTAATACAATAAGTCAATAACACTAAAGAAGACACAATAAATTTGATAATACATAAATAAATACAATAAAACACAACAAAAAAATCATAAACATCAATACATCATATATAAGAAGTTATAAACATCAATAAATCATTAGGGTTTCTACATTTTTAGATTTTAATTTTTAGGAATATATATATATATATATATATATATATATATATATATATATATATATATATATATATGTTTCGCATTCCTACCCAATTTTTTACAAAATACTAAAAAATCTTTCATTGGCCTACCCGATTCTTTCGGGTAGCCGATCAATAGAATCAGGTAAAGTAAAGTATGGTCGGAATTTGTGGGTTATCAAAAATTTGAACACCCCTACTAATGATCACCAATATCTGTCTTAAAACCATTTACATTATATTTTGTCTTCTAGTACGAGGTACCCCTAGTAAATAATAAATCAATTGATTTGATATGAAATATAGGGTAAGTCTGTGATATTAAACAAAAAATGTGGAAATTATTCGATAATCATAATTTTTTTACAGTCTCAAATAAACTCATCTAACGACTACTAATGTCTCTCTTAAAATCATTCACATTACACTGTATTTTCAGATACAGTGTACCCCTAGTAAATAATAAATCAATCGATTTGATACGAAATATAGGGTAAGTCTGTAATATTTAACAAAAAATGTGGAAATTATTCGATAATCGTAAATTTAATTTAAATTAATTTATAAATATTTATTATAAAAATAATAAAAATAAAAAGCTTAATATGTGTTAAAATCTTATTTGAGAAAAAAAATAGAGCTCTAATATCAAAAATTTATTTTTTAATATCATAATTGCACCCCTAATATTGTATACGCGACATTAGAATTTTATTTTGATGGATCAATTAATGATATAATTAATGCATAAAGTTATCATTAATAACATTTTTTAAGCCAATAGCAATGTACCATATGCGTTGCACGTAAAAAGTTTTCTTATAATTATTATGTATATGTGTATCTAAATAAAGTATCATTTCCAATTAATCAAACTGAATTTTTTATTGTTCATTCCATTATTCGATTATGAAAACTTTGTATGTTTTTTAAATTCTTTGTTCTAATTATAAAAAAATAAATAGTTAAAATTAAATTCTTTTTAGAATTTTTTGATTGAGATTGATTTTTTAGTAATGTTTGATAAATTAAATTTTAAAAAATTCATTTGATTAGGATTCCACTTATAATTCCTTAAATCAAATAAAAGTATAATATATATATATATATATATATATATATATATATGTCACGCCCCGAATTTCCACAAACCCGGGGCGAGTGAAAATGGAAAAGAAAAGTAAATGAAAGGTCATTAAGTTAGATAAATTGATTTCTCATTCATTTCTCATGTTTTCCCAAAATTTTTCAAACCACTTTTCTTCCATTTTTTGTTTATTTCTTCAAGATTTCTAAACCCCCTTTTTACATCCTTCCCACCTATTTAAAAGGTGTTTTACACACTTAATAAGTCTTTCAATTTTTCATAAAATTTTGACATAACCTCCTTTGTTTTCAAGCCTTTTTTCCACCTAATATTCACAATATTTCATATGCATTATTATATCACAACCCACCCTCACTCGGTGGCCACAACCCATATAAATTAAACATATATCTCTTATTCTCAACATATATATCTAATTGCCCCTAATATACAGATATGATACTCATTAAATAAAGACATCTCAAATATCAATTAAGTTTACACTCTTACACATTAAAATGTCCAAGACTTTTAATCCACTACTTTTTCAAACTAAGTACAAGTCATTTGGGCTTATACCATACATACAAAATATGTTCAATGGCCAAATATACATTTAAGTCTCTTTCCTCCCCTTCATCTAAGACTTCCTCAAGTCTCAAGTACCAGGGGCCTCATCTGTAATATGATATCCCATGAATGGGTTAGCTCAACTACTGGTATGACAAAAGGCTAATGCTATGAACAAATTTAAGGCGTGACATGTGCAAGTGTACATTTTAAAAGCTAAAACCTCATAATCTCTCAATGTTATGCAATGACAATATGCATGACACACCTATGCAACTCTATGTAACCCATGTCTCGCTTCACTGTCCGTCCCCGTCAGCCCGCGAGTACTGTCCTTGGCCAAATTTTGGGTTTTTCACTACAAGATCTACACTATCATAATGCATAGCACCAAGTACTCAACCTACACTATATTCCAAGGATTCAAGTATGTCAAGATGACATGATTTTTCTCAATGTAAATTTTATGAAACATTTCATCAAACACCTTATCCACATGAATGTAAAGCACCATTCAATGGATTAAACATATGATCAAACTTCATATTCCTATGAAACATTTCATCAAACACCTTATCTACATAAATGTGGAGCACCATTCAATGGATTAAACATATGATCAAGCTTCATATTCCTATGAAACATTTCATCAAACACCTTATCTACATAAATGTGAAGCACCATTCAATAGATTTAAACATATGATCAAGCTTCATATTCATTATTTTCATAATTTCTCAAAGAAACTACAAATACACAAACTACCAACTCATGTAAGAAATCATAAGTCTCAAACCATAAGAATTTCTCTACATGAACATAAGTTATAATATAATAATTCAACACATAAATAATATACACCTTAGCAACAAATTGTCAAGAAATTCAAAGAATATAAAAGTACTTAAACCACAAATTCTAAGTTTTCAAAGCAACTACCAACTAAATAATTTTCTAACATCAAGTAAACATCTAAATCATTCAATCAACACATAGGAAGACAAGAAAACTTAAATCTATTCTCAACTTAGCAAAATATCATACCTAAAATAGTTTTCTCAAACCAAGAGAGTTGTGTTCTCTTTATAGCCGAACCGATCAATGAGAATGTAGCCCTTGTTGAGAGGAACAACTTCTTAGAAGGAATTCTTGCAAAAATCTTGGTCTAGGAATGAGTTTTGGTGGCTTGAACCTTCAAGAACCTAGGGTTTTTCTTCTCTTTTCCTCCAAAAATGTGTACTGACCTTTCTCAGTTCAAAAACTGATATTTTTATACTAAGGGGGCTATATTTATAGTGGAGGGGTAAAGGTGCAAAATGACTCTTTTGTCCTTGATGAATCTGGGACACCGTTACACTACAACTCGTCCCAAAACGCCTTAATTCGACATTTTATTTTAACCAAAGTTCTTAAAATTATTTTAAATGAAAATTTTTAAAAAAATATATTTTCGCTAATGGCCGGGTTTGGCCGGTCCCACCTAGGCCACCCGAGATACCCTTTTTTGTCTAATTTTAAAAACTATTTTAGTTTAGGCTCAAATTTGTATAGTAAGTGTATTTTAACATTCAAAGCATATTTCTATTCTATAACATACTCAAATTATGCTCATAAATATGACTTATACCTAAATGATGTATATGTAGTGTCCTACAGGCAAATGGTGCATGAATAGTACTCTATAGGCAACAATTGAAAAATTTATCCTTACTTTTCAAATCTCTACAATATATATTATCAAGAATATTAAAATTCTAAAAAAATTAGACATACACTACAATATCTATTATTACATAAAATCTTGGTAG